CTATGCTTTAGCCCCTGTATTACCGCACGAGAAATCAACATGCAATTGGCCCCCAAAACTATGTAGCGACAGCTGCCTGTTCACGACTATTTATCGCCCCTTACAGTGACAATGAACGAACCATATCGACAGCTCGGATGGACTTCGACAAGTAAAATAACTGGCCAGCGCAACGAATGCCGGTGCAAAGATGCGCTTTTGCATAGTTCGCCGCAGATTTTTATTGCTAACGGCGCCGGCTTTTTCCGTAGATGCTTTTAGCTAAGCGAACTGTGACTAGGCACCAGAAGTGTCAGGAAGCACTCTCTCAAAATTTTAGCTTTCTAGCTCTTCGGGTTCTCGAGTTAGCAACTTACCTGTCGAAAACTTTGGCGAGCCTGTACGTTGGTACCACATGGGTAAGAGCCCGCTTCAGGGAATGAGGTCTGTACGTTCATGTAGATTAAGTTTCCAAAGTTTCAGCTTTGTAGCTTTTCTAGGTTTCGAGATGAAAAATCGGTACGGTCGGATGTACGCACACACATATACGCACACATACAAACATACACAGACAAATAACCTCTCGACAATATGCGTTTTTGCATTGCACAGATGCAAAAAGCAGATAAAAAAGCATCGATCTGACATAAGCTAAGAAGACAATTCGACGACTATTTTGAAATCTGAGTTAATCCTTGCGAGACGAAAACTGAATTTTGTTCTTACAGCCAAACAGCTTGTTTCAATCATACGAACAATCTATGCAAACACTGATACAAATACTAAATAAAACTGAATGGGCGCCACGCATCAGTGAATGGCGCCAGCGAGAAAAAGAAATCCTTCAAAGAACTGGGTTACCTACACAAGGCAGGCGATGGCCACTAATTTGGATGCATGCAGCACATATGGCTTGATATGGCTTGCTTAGCTTCATTCAGCATGTCTGAGAGGCTCCGGTAACATCACTGACAGTGGCTTCCCACGATGACTGTTCCATCAGTCTTGTTAACTTTATAAATAGTACAGTCTAGTCTTTTATTTGAGGGAATGATCTATCGACTAAGGCGCAGGTTACCGCCTCTTTACCGTCTCCTGCCTCCGAGGTCATAACACTGCATTTTCACACATATATGCATCCGTAAGAGTAGCCATCAGATCTACATACCTGATGGCAGGCACGGATGCTAGAGCATATACTGCTATGCTATAGCAAGATTGTTCAGCACAAGACCTTGGTTGCCTATCGCGGATGTAGAAGGGCCTCTGGAGATGGCCAATTGGCCAGCGGTGGTGAGCAAGTGAAGTGACGCGCATGAAATAATGTAATTAGGTATATACACAGACAATCGGGAGTATTTTCGTAAGCCAAACAACTGGTAATAGTTTCACTGTTTATGACTAAAAGTATACGAAAATGAGTCAACTTAAAAAGGGCAACATGCCACAAGGAAGTCAAGAGCACCATCTGTAAACAGTCGACCAGAAGTCGCGATATTCAGCAATGAGCTTCCCAGTAAATCTTTTTTTTTCTTTACAAATTCGTGTAGAGATCGGATCAGGCAAATAGAATCAGCCCTTTGACGCCTCTTACCCAAAACTGCTGCTCCAAAGAGGGTGAACTCCCAGACTTATGTTCAGTCTTTTAAAGCTCGGCCCAATTCATGATGCTGATCAGCCAAAAAAAAAGCAAACTAGTTTGAATGATACAATAGCATTTTCACTTGAAAATGACTGCAATGATAAGTATAAAATCAGAAAAAAACATAACTGAAAAGACTACCTCAGATAATTCGGTCAATCGCTTTTGATATTTCATTTTTCGATCCGAAATAACCGCCATAAGATTGAAATGAATTTCACCAGCGCTGTACCTAAACATTTTATTATCAGAAAAGCGTTCTGCACATGAATTACTTCTATAACAGCTGTCTTGTCGCCGACCTATCTCTAAAAATAAGAAATGGCGTGCGCATCAACTGCCGGTGTGAAGATGTGTTTTTTGCATAGTTCATCGCTGACCGCACCGTTTTTCCGACAGATCTTCTAGCTAAGAGAGTTGAGACTGGCCGCCACGGCTGTCTGAAAACATCCCCTTAAATTTTCAGCTTCCTAGCCTTTCTAGTTTCCGAGTTAGCCACTTAACTGCCAAAAAATTTTTCCAGCCGCACGTGGGAACTACGCACAAATAGGGCAGAGCTTGAAGTCAGTAGGTTCTAAGTGGACGGGGGATATTCCCTTAAAATCCCAGTTTTCTAGCTTTTCAGATTCTCGGATTAATGACTTACTCGCCAAAACTTTGACGGGCTCGTACGTGAAAGCCACGTAGGTAAGAGCGCCCATTTTGGGGATGGAAGCATTTACGTGCATGTAGATAAAATTTCCAAAGTTCCAGCCCTGTAATTTTCATAGGTTTCGAAATAAAAAGTCGGTACAGACACACACACACACATATATATATATACATACAGACAATCCCTCGACAATATGCGTTCTTGCATTGCATAGAGGCAAAAAATGTATAATAAATTAGATGTGTGTGCTGCGCAATTTTATAGTAGCACTACAGAGACAGTGATATTGAAGTGAGTAGTTCAGCAGTGTTGAAGTGACGAGTTCTGTGCTGAACTATATAGTGTTTACGTCAAATCTAAAATGACTGTCGAAGTGGGCAACTCCAATGCGAACAAACGAAGAGTAAAGCCACGGATGCGCACGTTAACAAATGCAGTACTGTCAAAAAACGGTGGAAAAAAAGAAGGATGGCAACAACGTTATCCCATTTTTTTCGTTAAATTTTTATGTCCGAAGGAAACGAGCTGAAAGCATACGCACCGATATATCATTTAACAGCGTGAAACATGAAACGCAAAAGTTACTTCTGTATTCTGGCACTGATTACCGGCCGAACAACATCCAACCAGTCAGCTTCTCCATTGACTGCGCCCAGATCAATTGGTGCTTCACGAAGACCATCCAGTTCGTAAACGTGACCATCTACGGGCACATACGTAATGAAATGATAATTATCTTCCTGGAATGTGAAAAAAAGCACTTTTTGTTGAAAATAGCGATGTTTTTGCTTGGAATTCCCAGCACAGATAAGAAAATTGAAGGATTGCTTCCAAATGCAAATCACAGAGCATGGTTGCTAATGAAAGCAAACTATGGTTTGAGAGGGAATGCATATGACCGGACGGATTAAAGCATTTTCCCTCATTTTTTTACAAATTCATCTTTTGGATGCTCCTAGAATCGCAATACAGTGGATTCGAGTTCTCGGAAGTACGGCCAAATTTGAAGGATTAAATGGCAAACACGTTAATTTCCGAAGGATTGGGAAATTTTATCTACATTACTAATACAGATCAAAAGGCCTGGCACAACTGCGCCCAGCATATGGAAACATCTCAGAAATATCGCTGACACGATGCTGATCGAGGGGCGCTGATCAAAAGACTTTGGTACTGCAACTTTAGGCTTGCAGTTCGTCCAGGCCTGAGCTTAAAGTAAAAATGCTGGGCTTTAAATCAGTACAATGAACTAAGCTAATGCACAAAAAAGCGCTTGGCTTAAGAGTGAAGCTAGTC